ACATGCTGCAAATCAGCTGATTTTGGGACTCTGCAGAATCTGCTACAGAGAAGGCCAGAAAGAGATGAGGAAGGGAAATGATTTAGAGAGGAATAATAGAGATTATTCCTCTTATCAAGAGATCCAGGAGAGGTCTTACAGAGCAGGGGCATTCATCAGGATTTCCTGTGTTGTCCCATTTGAATGTGGCTATGAAAGAGATTACTAAAGGACAGAGAGAGTAACAAAAGGGGAGATACCTATGTTCTGAAGATTTTCAGAGATAAATGTCAGGTTGGAGATCTGTAAAGAGGACTGATGAGATTTCCATCAAATGTTTTAATTTTGGCCAGCTACAGGGCAAATACCATTATTTGTCTCCACAGGCAGGGAATGTCTGTCATTCCCTTTCTTCCCAAGGAACAGATGAGATGGAGGAGGAAGCAAAGTGAAATCTCTAGAGTAGAGAAGAGATGGAGAATCTGGAAAAAATATGTTTCCCAGAGTCCTGAGTATGGCAAGACTCTAGGGAGTTGTCAACAGAGGAAGAAGCAAAACAAGAATCAGTTAACCCCTGAAAGAGATTTCCAGCAGTCTGGTGTGAAATGCTAGTACAGGTAAGAGAATCTGCAAGGAAAGCACTAGAGGAAGTTCAGTGGCCCTGGCATGGCTTGCAGTATCAGTGCCATAGTAATGCCTGCTAGCCAGCCCATAGGCACACCAACCCATCCCTTGCCATGACTCCACTGTCACTCAGGGCTTTACTGTAATGATTTATTATTACTGTCACTTAAGAAATAACAGAAAGGTTATGCTCTCTTTACACATGCCCAGCTTGTGGACCTTACCTCTATATCTACTGTTTCCCGTGTGCTGGTAGAGCAACTTTTCCACTCTTATGTAAGAGTGAAAGGGTTCTGATGGTTACTCTGTTTTTCTGAGTAAAATAAGAAAAAAAATGTTTTTGCAGCTGTTTCCAGAAAAGACCAGACACGCAGAAGAAAATCCAATAAATGATTAACTCAGTCTTTCCATCTGCGGATAATAGTGTCTCTGGTGTTTTTGTGGTTTTTGTTGTTGTTTTGTTTTGTTTATTGCTAGCCTTTTCTTTCCCCCATGGAAAGAGGCATTTTCTGTTTGATTTGAAATGCAGTGTCCTGAGCTGTTTTCTGGAAACACCTAGATGATGTGTTCCTTCCAGCTTTGAATGAAGAGGAATAAATTGGAAGTTAGTTTCCTGTACTCCTCTCATCTCCTTGTTAGAGAATAATGAGCAAGCGAGCATGTTTATAGCCAAAATATTATATCTGTCCCTTCTGTTGCCTTTGCCTGCCTCTCACAACTGCTTGTCGTGTCCAGTAGTTCCCGGTATCACCTCCAGTTCCCTGCATCCTGCTTGCTCCTGCTGACAACCAGATCACCTGCCTTTTGTCCTCAAACCATGCTTACTATCAGTTCCAACTCACCTGTGCTGCTGTGGAATCCATGGTGCTGGCAGTGACCTTGACTCTGAGATCTGCAGCACCTTAGTCTCTGGAACAGGCTGGACATTCCTGCTGAGCTTGCTACTTTCATCAAAGTTGACTACTGGATTTCTGCCACCCTTTTTTTCTTCCTCTCCTCTCCTCTCCTCTCCTCTCCTCTCCTCTCCTCTCCTCTCCTCTCCTCTCCTCTCCTCTCCTCTCCTCTCCTCTCCTTCCTTTCTCTCTTTCTCTCTTTCCTTCTCTCTTTTTTTTTTTAACCTACATTGGGCTGTGTTAAAATACATGCCACTCGGTCAGGTGGCAATTCAGAGCACTCTGTAGATAGGATGGCCTTCATAAGTGCTTAGCAAGCTACCAGTTTTTGTGCAAGCTTTTTGCTGAAATAATTTTTTGATATAACCAACTGAAATCAAGTTTTTGGAAAAAAAATACTAAGATTTTCCTCATGAATGCACAAAAACCATCCAATTTCCCTGAAAACTGCTTGTCTATAGCAGTGTTTTGGGATTTATTATTGCCTTCATGCCATAAGCGATGATCAGTAGTGTAAGAAATATCACCTTTCCCTGTGCAAATCTCAGGGTGGTTGATGCCAGAACCTATCATCCTCCTTCGCACTGAAGTAAACTTACCCAGATGTCAGCATGACAGAGGCCTGTGGATCATCCTTTTCCAAGCCAGTAAATATTCTCATCTCCCAGCCCAATGGCAGACAGCATATTCCCAGCAGCCCATGTCTGAGTGACTCGGGCCAGGTGCCATGGCCAGAGAGAAAAGGTCAAATTCTTATCAACGGAACACAAATAGGAAAAAAGCAAATCAAAGTGCAGCGGCCACCTATGCATCTAGGGCTGGGCCATGGCCAGCTGTGTTGCACAGAGTAGTGCCAACACACCAAACCCCTCAAAAAAGCATCTTTTGCTTCCAGCTGCCTCCTGGCCAGCACCAACATTACCTCAGCCTGGCCAGAGAGAAGCCAGATGGAGCAAATCGCCTTCTCAGAGATCCAGATACTGGGTGTTTTTTTTTTTTCTGCTGCGTCAGCCAGCTCAGATGTGGCACGGATGGGGATCTGTGGCCTGAGGGTCTCAGGACCTCTGGGGAACACACAGCAGATGGGACAAAATGGCACCAGGGTAGAAAGGCGTGTGGATCCTTAGACCTGGCTGGGAGAGGGGTGAAGGCCAACAGCTCTGCTCCCTGCCAACCATGGATGAGTGGGTGAGGGTCTTACCTCCTTACTCCTTTGGGCACAGGGCTCAGCTGCAGGCTGCAGCTCCAGCACAACACATCACACCCTCAGGATCCATGCCAGCCACTCAGAGGATGGGAAAGCCATGTTTACAGCTGGCTGTTCGTAGAGAAGAGAGATGGCTATAAGTTACCTCTGGTCTGAGGGACCAGGCGGCAAAGGCACCAGGTGGCCTGCCTTCTTCAGGTGGCACAGGTAGGAAGCAAACATGGCAGTGTCCAGGTGGATACAGAGCTGAAGGTGGTTGGAAGAGGGTTTTGGGCTTAGAAGAGCACTGCAAGCCATGTGGCCATGATGGGAGAAGCGCAGGGCCATGCTGTGGATGGAGCTTCCAGACTGGGTGGAAGAGCAAAGGGATGGTGTACACGGACCATGGCCTGATCTGCAAAGCACAATGCCCACAGATGTGAGCAAGTGCCAAAGCTGTGACGGCTGTCCATGCTGGGATGCCCTATGTCCTGCACATGCAGGTATGTCCCCAAAGGCAGAGCCCCTCACTACAAGGCACTGTGACCAGGAAGCATGTCCAGAGAAGGGCAACAAAGCTGTGAAAGGTCTGGAGCACAAGTCTTACGCTGAGAAAACTGGGATTGTTCAGTCTGGAGAAGGCTTAGGAGAAACCTTATCACTTTCTACAACTCCCTGACAGGAGGTTGTGGCAAGATGAGTGTTGGCTTCTTCTCCCAGGTGACAGCAACAGGACAAGCTCAAATGGCCTCAAGTTGTGCCAAGGGAGGCTCAGCTCGGATAGAAGGAAAAACTTCTCAGAAAGAGTGCTGAGGCATTGGAGCAGGCTACCCACTGTCCCTGGAGGCGTTCAAGAACCATGTGGATGTGTCACTGTTGGTGGGTGTAGTGGGGACGGGCTGGTGGTTGGATGTGGTGACCTTAGAGGTCTTTTCCAGCCCTAATGATTCTATGATTCTCTGATACTGCACCACCACTCTGCCCACATCCCACGACAATCCCAGAACTGCAGATGATAGGTAAGGTGTCACTGGCTGTGAAGATGTCCTAGCAGAGCTGCATATGCTGACTACGGGTTGGAAAGAACTTTCAATCATATTTCCACCTCCATCAAACCCTGCAGATGCCCAGTAAAAAGCCCAGAGAAGTTCTGTTGGGTTAAAGAAATGGAAGCTTTCAAATGCTGCAGAACAAAATGTAAGTGAGGAAATGAGCATCCTCCTTCCTCCACTCTGCTAGCCTCTCGCCTAGCTTCTGCCACAAAGCCCATGACATCTGTGCATATTTTATAATGCAGCTTCTCATGGGGAAACTCAGCTCTCACTGAAGGGACGGCTTGTAGTTTCTGGTTGGAGAGCCCCAGCACGCAACTGTATGCTCAGAAACCCGAAGCTTTGAGACAACTTCCAGTGAACTGTGAAAAACAAGTCAGAGCCGAGGCTGCTCAGAAGACATCTGTGCTCTTTTGCGCTCTGCATCAGGCTGCTTGGAAAAGCCCCTGGGCTGGAGCTGGGTATTTCTGTAGCGGCTGCAGGCGAGCTTCACAGAATAGGGAGCGCAGAGGAGAACAGCACGTCCTGACGCCCGCGGGCTTTTGGAAGCGCCTCTCACACACGCCGTCGTTATGGGTACGCGTTCTGTTTTGCGTTTCGCACTCGGCTGCTTTCGGTAATCCCGAAATTCTTTTTTTTTAATCTTTTTCACGAGCACGTGCTACCTCTCGTTCCTCTTCCCTTTCACTACCTCCCCCCGCCGCCTTCCCCTTCCCCCCTCCCGTGCCGCCCGAGTCCCGGCCCTGCCCGCCCCCGCCCCGCCCCGCCGGGCCCGGCCCGGCCCGGCCCCGCCGCCGGCCTGCTCCCGCCGCGCCCA